CCTGCCTCCTGCCGTGCTCGTGCTGGCTGGACTGCCATCTGGCCAGGCCTCCCTCGCTGCTCTTTCCCAGGCTGTGAGCCCTCCAGAAGCAACTCGACCGACCCAGAGGGCAACTGCCCAGAGCCTCAGCCCGGGCGCCAGGGAATCCATCTGCGAACGTGGAAAATTCCCCCGTTGCATTCTCCTTAAACATTTGACAAGAATTAAAGTTTCCCCCAGGGGAACCAATTTCACATATTGAAACCAAACTTTTTTCCGCCCGTGGGGGCGGGGACCCGGAGTTGGAGGGACCGGGAGCGAGGGCTCTCGGCTGCAATCGAGGGTGAATGGAGTGGACGGGTCCTGATGGTAAAGGGTCACGTTTGTCTCGCTCTAAGTAAAAGTACTTAGTTATGACCGTCAGACCCCGACGTTGGACAGCGGGGTCCCAGACTTCTTCCATGCAGTCCAGGCACACGTTGGTGGGCACCTGGGGCTGAATGACGAGAGAGCGCCAGCATCGTGCCAGTTTCTGTGCTAAAAGTAAAATGGCAACCTTGTCCTTCCAAGTAGCTTTCTTTCTGAGGAATCCAGGTACCCGCTGAATGGCAGAAGGCTCCTGATGATTCAGTTTCTGGAGCACCCTCTCCTGTCATCTACACACTCTCACCACTGCTGCTTCCACGGACGATAAGAGATGAATAGGCGGTGAAACAATACAGTTTAATTCAGGCGTTAAAAAACAAGGAGTCAATTCGGTTATCCATCCGGTTGCGAAGAACCTTAAGTCCAATATATTCTCTTGCACCCAGTTTCCTTTGAGATAATTTTCACTCTCCTACTCAGTTGTCATTGCCTATCTCCATCCTTATTGACACTGGGAATTGGAGTGGAGGCTTTTAAATGGCAGCGGCACGAAAAGACAGCCTTAGGTTGAAAAAAAATCAAGGCAAGCAAAAATTCTCGTGCTCAATGTCAGAATTCATAATTATATTTCAGCCTACAGAGCTCTAGAATCTCTGCCTATGTAACTTCTTACCACGAGACAAAAGAAGTCATTGTCATTGACCCTGCTTCACCAAAAATGTCAGGGCCACCTCTTGGAGTGCCTGTTCCAAAGTGAGATTTGTATTGGACCCAAAATGCGAAGAGTAGATGTAAGAAACTTCCTGCTTTTCTCTGTGTCTCTAAAATATGCCTGTTTTATGAATATGCCTCTCATACTGGGACTCTGAGCCAAAGAAAAAAACACTTCCTACTTAGCTGATCTGGTCAGCATGTTCCATGAGAAGTTCGGGGAAAATATTTACTGAGTGAGAGAACAAGTTACGGAAGTAACTATTACCTAGTTTGAGACCAAATTTGTAACCATAAGAAAGAGCAATCATGCAACCTGCCATAGCTATTTAACATCAGCAGTTCACTCTCATAGCTGGTGGGAAGTCTGTGAATTTTTCTTGCCCTTGCCCGTTTTGCAAAATTCCTTTTTTCTTCGTAAGAGTAAAAATATCATTTAAATTAGAGATCCCTGCAGATGTGCAGTCTGTAATTCTAAGGCCATTGATAGTGCCATCAGTTATTTTATTATATGCTTACACCAGCATCAAAACAATTTTATGCACACATTTCTAGACAAAAGGCTGAGTTTTTAAAGAATCAGTACCGGTTTAAAAGCAAGTTGCAAATTCAGTAATTATGATTATAAGTATATAAAATAGGCATAGTAAAAGGATATTTGAAAAAGATTATAGCTGCTAAAGATGTTGGTATTAGGATTTTCCAAATGTGTCCTATTGGTATTGCATTATAATTAAATATGTGAAAGATGGATAAAGAGACTGATACTTTAAAAAGTTAAGATCAGATTTCAATTTCATATCAAAGTGAAAGCACAGACTGGTCCATCTGACAGCAATCAGCAGAAAGAAGAGAAAGTGTGTGTGTGTGTGTGTGTGTGTGTGTGTGTGTGTGTGTGTGTTGTGTGGTTACATATAACAGGAGGATTCATTTCAGAGAGTCTGAAGAGAATTATTTCATCTTCAAAGGATAGTGAGGCTTTGATCAAAGATATGGATCCCAAAATGACAGTCAAAGTGGTAATTTCCCATTTACCAATCCATATAAATTAATATACTAGGAGATTTAAATTATTATTAATGAAATAAAACTTGATCCCACAGATTTCAGGTATATAGGTCCACTCCAGAGATCCACTCATGTATCGCAGTATAAAAGTTAATTGTATTTGTTTAATTATATTTGACCTTTCCTTCATTAATACAGTGTCAACACCTACTGTACACGCACATACACATATTACTAACTGTATTTTAAGTGAAATTAAAGTTACATACTACAGAAGAAACATACCACTTTTATATAACCTGTTCCTTCATACTTTCAGCTGGTTCCTGAAGTATTCATGAAGGTGTTAGAGGAGAAACTACCAGATATGACCACTGAATGTACAGAGGAATATCCAGGCTTTAGGCCCTGCTCTTTCCAATCTTGCTTTCCTCAAAGGTCAGAAATAATTTGTAGTTCAAAGCCATGAAATCCTCCAGTTAGCCGCATGAAAGTCAGCAAAGTTAAAAAAAAAAAAAAAACGAAAAAAGCTTAGGCTGCCTCTCTGAGGCAAAGTAATTGTTCACTTGCTTCTAAAAAATGCATTTGTTGAAAGACTGCTTACTGTGAGTCCCTTCTAAGTGCTAGGGACAGGGAGAAATAAGACTCCTCGTGCTCAATGGGCTTGCTGTCTGGTGTGGGGAAATGGATGAACACTAAAAATTTTAAGACTGAGGAAGAAAGCGCCAGGGGCCTGAGAGAACAATGACAGCACGGAGTGAGAAGAGGTGGACGGAGAATTGGCCATAAAGCATCATCTGAGCTGAGCTTCTAATTAACGAGGAGAGGAAGGTTGTGTTCGAACTGGGGGAGCAGATCATACACAGGCCTATAGCTATTTTTTCTGGTCACTTATCCAGAACCCTTCTTGTTTTACTCTTCTAATCAACAGATTGCCTAGCCCTGATCACCTATGATCTTGTGCTGGGGGAGTAAAAAAGCACAGAGGGTGGGGTGGGGATGCTGTTACCTTCATTACAAGTAAAATAGGTTCAGAATGACTACTTAGTATTGTAAACATGTTACTGTTGTCAAAAAACTTAGATGGTATTCTGGCAGGCAGTACTGTTCTATCAGGCAAACATTTTACCTCTAAGTCCATTAATAAAATAGGGCTATTCACTGATGTATAAGAGGTACTGTGAATTATAGACAGAATTCTAAAGAAATTCTCAAATGGATAGCAAATCTAGCTCCATCCTTTACTGAGTTTTCCTATTTTTAAAACATGTTGTAACCTGTAAAACATATTGTAACCTCAAATGAGTTGCATCTAAAACCCTAAAAATTGTTAGCCGTATTCAAAATAATAGATTGCTTTATGTTTACAGTATTTGTGTGACATGGAGACGTGAGTGTGCCTATAATTCCCTTAGAAAACTACCCTTTCCCATCTTAGTCTATAGCTCTACATCGGGATGCCTGCTAATGAAGCAGAGAAGAAAAGGTATGAGACACTGGAACAGAAAATATCCACATACCCTTACTCAAATGCTCGGCTCAGGGGCGGTTCAGGTTTCTTTCGGAGAACTGGGGGTGCAAAAGCATCTAGGGATTCATTTCTAGCCACCAAGGCACTCAGAGGCCACTGCAGCTATGGTTTAAGCAGGACCACGTACAGTCACACTGACAGTAGAGTGTCATCCATGCTGTGCTAGTTTCGCAGGCATATGAAATGCAAGGGTTATGGGGTCATGTGTGTTGCCCTAAGGCATTAAAAGAAAGCCTAAGAGGCAAGGCAGTGTGTAACAGGATCAGAAGCCTGGCAAGCAGCCCCCAACAGGATAATGTGTGGAGCTGTGAGAGTTAAGCCAAAGCTGTGTTGGATACCCCAAGAAGACGAGGTGACAGCCGTGTGGGAAATCTGCTGATGAAAGCTGCAGGCAGTGGGTAAAACCAGCCTAAGAAGGGTGACCATGTGAGCTGAAACTGGTAAAGCCATAGGGTGTGGCTGCCCAAGCCTTCAGGAGGCTTGGGAGCATTCGCTCCGGGTGCTGAATATGGAGCTACATTTGCCCTACTGAGTTTCAGTCTTGCTTTGGTCCAATCCTCTTGGTATTTTCCTGTTCCTCCCTTTGGAATGGGAATATTTACCCTCTACCACTTTATCCTACAAGTTTGTAACTTGTTCTTTTGATCTTTATAGGAGATCATAGCTATAATTGCCTTGAGTTTCAGAGGACACTTTGGATTTCAACTTTTTAGCAGTGCTGGAATAGATAAGACGTTGGAGACTCTTGTTGATAAACTGAATGCATTTTGCACTGTGAAATGGACATGGGCTTTGCGGGGGGGGGGCAGAGGCAGAATTCTAGTTTCATGTATGTCCCCAAAAGCCACACAAGTTAAAGACTAGTTCCTCAGCCC